AGATTTGGATTGTTATACGAGTATATGTGATACTCGTTTAAATATTATTATTTAGCGTGATTTTATAAAATTTGATAAAAATAATTAAAACTGTCGCTATATGCCACTCACAATTTTTTTTTTTCTTATGGATATTCAATATATGTAGTTGCGTCTGGATCCCTGTCACGAGCTGTATTTAAGCATCATTAGTAGTTAAGAATTCATTAAAACTTTTCTTGTCATATTCAAATCTTGAAAATTGAATACAAGATTCCTCAAAAGTAGTTCATATTGAATCATAAAATCTAAAAACTATACAAAAATAACAATTTTTAGAGATATTTTAAGTTCAAATTTGGAGGAAATTATTTATTTAAACAATAAAAATGATGTCAACTATTTTGTTAGAATTAAAAACATTATTCGCGAGAACTTAAAACTTTTACGCGTATTATAAATTTTATTAAATGAAATGAGATTTTTAATTTATTTAAAAAAATTATACATTTATACTATGAATCTATATTATTATTATTTTACGGTGTTATATTATTTACAAATTTTGAGTTAGTATAGTATATTATAGTATAAATATATATTATTATAATTAAATATTAATAATAAATTAAATGTAATAGTTTCGAAAAAAATTATATCATCCTCTACCTATAATACTGAAGTAAAATAAATTACTTTAATAGCTTTAACTTATTATGAAATATACTTGGTGAAATAAATTGATGACCAATTCCACTCAGAATCGTTTTTCTTGTATCATGATAAATATCGTTAGATTTAATTTAAAATATTCATAATAGTGCCCTATTTTACACCTAATGTACAACAGAGTGGTATCCACCTGCCCACCTTTTTTTAAATTTCAATCGGCATATAAAGTTAGAAGTTGCATATCAAATACTCCAGAAAATTAGCATTTAGTAGGTAGCCGTGACTGCAAGGCCATGGCACATAATATGAATATTATGAATAGGTCATATAGGTATCACTTTACACACTTTACAATAAACATTTTGGTAGTTTGTGGTTTGCCCCATAAATATATATAATATATGTATGACATGAGTTACAAACATATATAATACATATAGGTGACCCAATGGCCTGCAGTTCTGGTTGCTAGAAGAGTACAAATTGAGACATATTATCATTATGTCTAGTGCCTACCCGTACTATATTTGATATTAATGGGCTTCATAGCTAATATTTATTACCTTAATTCTACGTGAATATACGTTGACCAATAATCAAAATTATAAATCTTTATAATTAAAATTAAATCATAAACTGTAATTATAAAATTTTGATGTGGAACCTAAAATTAAATTTTAAAACTTAACAGATACTAATTCTAACATTATTGGTTAAAATGTTTAGCATCAACCTATAGTTTATACGGTTATTTATTTACAACAGAACTTAGAAGAACAAGATCAATTTTATCAAAAACTGATTATTTAAAAATTTTATTTTTATCTTTTTTTTGTAAATACGTGCTAAGTGAAGAGCCAAAATATATTGAAAAGAAAATTTATTAAACATTTTTCGTTTAAATACTATCTAATTTTGTCAAAACTTAAACTTATAATTGTGTCAGTTTTTAAAATATTATAAAAATAGTGTATGAAGAATTTTGTATCAAATTTTAAAGTTTTAGGTATTTTAATTTTAATTTGTATGCATTTTTAGCAACAAAATAATTTATACATTTATATTATTTTGAACATTTTTTTTCAAAATTTGAACTTTCAATTTTCATTGTTAATAAAAAAATTAAGACAATTAATTTTCCACTCAATGCATTTTTTAATTTCTGTATGAAAGACCTATGACGAATTTTGTACTAACATTTTTGAGATTTTTTACTCATAAATTAAAATTTTATTAAACATAAATCAAAAATAAACTAAATTTTAAATTTCTAAAAATAGCACAAATTAAAACTAAAATATTTTGAAAAATATATCATGTTTAGAAAATTTTAGTCAATATACTTGGTGAAAATATTAAGTATCTACTTATATAGTTAATCATTTTGGAACTACCATCAAATAATAAAATCGATGTTGCATAAATATAATTTTTCCATATATTTTTTCATTTTTCCCATTAACTCACCAAAGTATCAATAAGTTGTTAAATCTTACTCTTATTAAACTAAAAACCACCCTCAAACTTAATGATCGAAGCATTTTTATTACAATAAAACAAAATAATAAAAAACTAAAATAACACAAATCATTGTAAAACCACTAAAACTAATACATAAAACGCTACACTAAGAATCTACAAAAATAGAAAAACAAATCGAAAAGTTTGATTTATTACCCGTCGGCAATACTTGCGTCTTAAGTCATAACTCATAACCGAAAACAGTAAGAGATAGAAATCAATATACCCTGCCAAACTATATGAAGTAATATACTATAGCTGCGAATTACAATGTGGGTACTAGGTATAATCCTATTTATAAAGTCGGACAGAATTATTTTTTTATTTT